CTAAATCAGTAATCTAGATCCTTCTAAAAAATGTTTCAAATTAAAAATAATGTTTAAAACTAGGTTACAATCATTCATCCTAACTAAAGACTTAATTACACATCATAGGTGAAGAATAAAATAAGAAGGAATTAAAGTACATCACCAGGAGAAAAAGGTAAAGATCCAACACTATAAATCCACCTCTTCTTGTAAAATCTTTGAAACCCTAGTTCCTTGATTGGTTTTCTTGATTTTTTCCCTCCTTTCACTTGAATAATATATGTATAACGAATCCCCAGGCCTTGGTTTGAATGTATGTGTATAATGGAACTCCACAAGCCCTTTTAAATTGTTGGGCTAAGGTATGTATTTATAAAACAAGATTTAGGTAACATCTTTGTTCAACTTGATTTCGACAAAAGAGTTCAAATTGTTTTCTGCTAAAGAGTTAAAGAAATAAAAGAAAACAAATTCCCCTTCAATTGGACTCCTTTTCTCATATGACTTTAGTCCTAAATTTCTATTATTCTGCAATTAAGTCTTCTTCATTTCAAAATCATAATAGTTGACCCGAGACATGTCTTGAAATTTGAAATTTAGTTCAAAACTTTTCAAATGTCAAATTTAACTCTCGAAACTTTATAAATTTTTACCAAATTCTCAATTAATATTTTCAGTTGATCTCTTGCAATCTGATTAATCTTCAATTGCTTCAAATCACTTCAATTAAGCTCCATATAGTCTCCTTTTATATAAACTGTATTCAAATTGAGATTTTCCTACAATTAGGCTCATAAAATGCACTTAACAAACAGCCACAAACTTAAACTCTTGTTTGTCCCAAGCAAGAACATCTACTAAACACACGAGCAAAAACATATAAATATATTAGATAACTTTACCAAGCTCGCATCAAGTATTGAAATTGTTTGATACTTCACAAAAAGTTCATGTAGTTAAAATTAATTCTTTACTTTATCAATGCTCGATTAATGTGTGTGTGTTCATAGTCAATCAAATTATCATGAATTTTTGAATTGATTATATCCCAACCCTTTATAGTCAAATATTTCCTCTCTCTTCTAGGATGCACATCCCCAAACTTGTTTTTCAATCACATTCACAAGATATTTATTCTAAGGTTGATCATACAACACTCTTATCTTTTCCCGCTCAAATTTGATTAGGTTCCACCAATGAAAGTCGTAGAACACTCTTTTCTCAATTCGCAATAATGCCCCTTAAGTTTGAATGTTTCAATCTCTAAAGTTCAACTAGGATAATAACCATCGCAAAAGTCTAAATTTCAAATTAAGTATCCAAGGCTTAGCCGAACAGAAACAGTGCTTATAGATTTTGTCACTACCTCAACACACTTTGGTGTATTTTTTGTCCCTTCTTTTGTTTTTGTGATAGTTTCCTTGATTTTCAAAGGTACTTTTCACCCTACATCGACACCGGCCTTTTTCCTTGTAGATCGTCTCCTAAACATTGATGATGAATAAGGCCAGATTACTCAAGACTACCTTCACACAACAATATAGATAACTTTTTTCTACGTTCCACGGCTAATGCAATGCCTTTTATTTTTTTAGAAGAATAATTGAAATCAAACTCCTAGCAGATGATTTTTACCTAGTCTCTACATGTTAGCCAAAAACGACACAACTATTGAACATGAATGGAATCAACTCCCAACAACGGATCAATATCACTCCAAACTTATCCTTTCAATAGGTTAAGTGGACATGCTAAGTACAACCGTAATAACCAAAATTAAAGAGTTAAGGGTTAGAAAAATGGGTTACTTCTCATTAGTTCTTGAGTCATAGTCTCAAGCTCAACTATGGACAACGATATTTCATGGAATTTTAAATATATATCTTTGGAGATCTTGCTTAGCTTGCGTGGATTGTCGTTGCACCACATCTTGCATGTCCCCCAATATATTACATTGTCATCTTGAATATGGTATAACTTGCTTAAATTATCTAATTCGAACTCAACTAAGAATACTTCGATCTTCTCATCTTCTTTAATTACAAAATTGATGAAGTTGAAGGTTTGCATGCTAATTACATCTTCTTTGAATATCACTAATTCGTTTGGCTCCTTCGTGATTAATTCATTCTATTCTACATTTTTTTCTTTAGTTGTTGGTTCCTCGGGTTTACTAATGAATTAGTCATCCATAAACATGTTACTCACTCATCCAGAATTATTTGATCTTCAATCATTTTATATTTTTGCACGGTAATGTCTCCTATAATTATTTTACCGTAATCATCTTGTTCTTCATTTTGGTATTGTCAATAACAAGCAATTTTTAATATAATGTAATGCACTACAATATTTACAAGTCGATCTAATCTCTCCATAAACAATAGATTTGATGTTTAGTCGCTCCGGGAAGCCATCCTTATCTAATACATTATGTTGATTGTATTCTCACTTTTTAAGTTCTTATCTAAAATGAATTCTCAAAAAACCATGTCACCATCATCTAAGTTGGGATTAATCATTGTGAATTTTTGACATCTTGCTTCATTTCAGTCCTTGCCAATAGAGTAAAGAAAAAACAAGTAGATAAGTCGAAAAAGAAAAAGAAAAAAATCAAACAAAAGTACGAAATAATTGAAATCAATATTAAATAAAATAATCTCCAGCAACGATGCCGACTATTTGTTGTCGATTTTTATGTCCCACAAATGTATGAATCGTAACATGTAATAAAGTGGACCTATAAATTCGAATATCATTTCTACGAGGACTACTATCAAATAATTAAAAAATCAATTTTTAACTGTTATTTCATTATTCAACCCATCATTTTTTATTTTTTTTTCTTGCAAGTAGAACTCACTTTTCTCTCCAACGGTGAAAAAATCAATTTTCAAAATCACTACGTACAAGCTCTAAATTAAATAATAAAATTGACTTTTTTTATATGATGGTTTAAGTGTTAGGATTTATAAGTTCACCATAGTTATCCCCTTTACCTCAATCAATAAGTTTTATACAATTGATTATGTTTACCTAATCGAATTCTTTCTAATATATTCAATTTACCCATATTGAGTTCTCATTAAGTTTATTTAACTAATTTAATTCAACATCTCTATATAAATTAATCTTAGTTAAATGTAATTATGTTCTAAGAATTCGTGTAATGGCCTTAATAAATAGCAAAAGTATCCCCACGTTTTGTACTAGTTGCTGACTTTTACTACATGGTCTAAACAAATAATTCGCATTTCTACGTAATTATTGTTCACAAAATCAATGAATTAGTGGCCAATTAATCCAAGCTTTAAGATTAGAAGTAAAAACAATTCGCAAAATCAATTTGAGATATAAAACTCTTTAATTAAAAATAAGGTTTAAATTTAGATTACAATCATTTATCCTAACTAGATACTTAATTACACATCATGGGAGAAGAATAAAACAAGAAGGAATTAAACTGTATCACCAGGTATTAAAGAAAACCAAGAAAATGATGAATACCTTGCACCAAGGAAATCATTGAAACCCTAACTTCTTGATTGATTTCTTGATTTTTCACTCCTTTTGGCTTGAATAATATATGTATAATGAATCCCTAATCCTTGGTTTGAATGTATATGTATATGTATAATAGGACTCCACAAGCCCCTTTAAATTGTTGGACTTGGGTATGTATTTATAAAACAAGATTTAAATAAAATCATTGTTCAACTTAATTTCCACAAAAGAGTTCAAATTGGTTTCTACCAAAAAGCATTAGAAATAAAAGGAAATAAATTCCTTGTTCAATTGGAGTCCTTTTCTCACATGACTTTAGTTCTTCATCTTCTATTATTTTGCAATTAAGTCCTCATCATTCCAAAATCATAATTATTGATCCAAGACAAGTTTCAAAGTTTACAATTTACTCCTCAAACTTTCCAAATATCAAATTTCACTCTCGAAACTTTATAAATTTTTATCGAATGCTCCATTAATATTTCCAATTGATCTCATGCAATCCGGTTAATATTCAATTGCTTGAAATAAACTCCAATTAAGTTACAAATAACCTCTTTTATATAAATTGTATTTAAGTTGGGAATTTTCTACAATTAACATAATTTATACAAATTAAGTAGATAATTGCTCAATTTATATATAATAAATTAAGAATAGAAGTCCGAATAAGGACATAAATGCACTTATCAATAATACTAGATATTTCCAAGATTTCATGTTGTTAGCCTCTTCAAAAATACGACTATGGACTATATTACGCCAACACGTGCACCACCATTCGAATCTCTCTCAAAGTAACCCTAGCCTCTACCAATAACCTCAAGACCATGATACCTATTCATTATACCTGAGCCATGTACTACAGTAGCCCTTGCTTATTTGATCCTTCTCTATGTCCTTCTCTAGTATTAGTCGAATACTGTAAATTGTAACACTAAGCTCCCCACCATATTTTTGAACAGAACACTAGTATTCACATATGATTTATTCTCTTTTGCGTGCGTGTCTTTGCAGTTGTCACTATTTTATCGGTCATTTTTAAGTTATTCAAGTGTTTTCTTTTGAGGGCTTAAGCGTAACAAATTTCAAGTTTATCTTTATGGCAGTAGTTTAGAACTAGAATTTTTCTACTTGAACAGAATTTTTGTATTGATAGGTGCATGCATCTGTCAACTTATCTATACAAAATCATATCGGTACAAGTAGAATAATTCAGAAAGTTGACATGTCTCAATTATCCGAAAGGACAATCAAATCTTCCTTTTTCAAGTCCAATTATCAGCTACCCTCAACACCACCTCCTCTATTTGAACCCTTAACCCACTCCACACAATTCTTCAAACTGGAGATTACGTTGTCTGTGCCCTCTCTCTATTTATCTGTCTTCTGTCCTATTCTCATTCAAATCGCATAAATTCCTTGGAAACATTTTGAAAGCTTCCCAACATTTCCATTTTCCAGTTTTATATAAACTCTTGATGAATCCTTGTAATCTTTGTATGCCACCACCAATGGATACTACTTTCGATGATCTATTTTCCGGTCGATGCATACTGGTAAATGGCCCTGTAATTGTTGGGGCAGGTCCAACAGGCTTATCAGTTGGTGCTGGCCTTAAACAAGAGGGGGTTCCATTTGTGATCCTTGAAAGAGCTAGCTGCATTGCCTCTTTATGGCAAAATCGGACCTATGATCGACTTAAACTTCATCTTCCAAAACAATTCTGCGAGTTACCATACCATCCATTCCCAGAAAACTTCCCAGAGTACCCCACGAAACACCAATTCATCGACTACCTTGAATCATATGTAAAAAAATTTGATATCAATCCTAGGTTCAATGAGTCGGTTCAATCTGCTAAGTTCGTTGAAACATGTGACTTATGGCGCGTTAAGACCCTGAGGAATGATGATTCGACTATAGAGTACATTTGCAGGTGGCTCATGGTGGCTACCGGAGAAAATGCTGAGAAGGTTGTGCCCGAATTCGAAGGGTTGCAAGAATTTGGCGGCAGTGTTTTGCATGCTTGTGATTACAAAACAGGTGAGGCTTATCAAGGAAAGAATGTACTAGTTGTTGGCTGTGGAAATTCAGGAATGGAAGTTTCTCCTGATCTTTGCCACCATAATGCACTTCCATTAATGGTGGTTCGCAGCTCGGTCAGTCAATCTTGTCTTTCTTGTTTTATCTCAAATACTTTACATACAGTGAACAAGATTTTAACATTTTTCCTAACTAAAATGCGTAGGTTCATATACTGCCGAGGGAAATTTTTGGGAAATCGACATTCGAGTTGTCAGTTAAGCTAACAATGTGGTTGCCAGTTTGGGTTGTGGATAAAACACTGCTAGCAGCTGCAAGATTAATCCTAGGAAATGTTGAAAAGTATGGGCTTAAGAGGCCATCCACTGGTCCTTTACAGCTCAAGAACATTCAAGGGAAAACCCCTGTCCTGGATATAGGTGCCCTTAAACAGATTAGATCTGGTAAAATCAAGATTGTCCCTGGAATTAACAGGTTTTCAACTGGGAAAGTTGAATTGGTCAACGGGCAAATTCTTGAAATTGATTCTGTCATCTTGGCAACTGGGTATTGCAGCAATGTCCCATCTTGGTTAAAGGTTAGAATCCCCCCCCCCCCTCTCTCTCTCTCTCTCTATATATACACACTTGTGTGTGTTGTGGGGTGGGGGGAGGTTGAGTGGACTGGGGTGGATTTATATAACAGTTATGGAAGGTGAATGTCGTATATATATCAAGATTTACATAATGTCATGTGGCGTTCTATCATTTGTCAGTTTAAAATATAATCAATTTTTTCATCCAATCTTTTCTCCACACATCATTTTTAGTAATCGTTAATATACTATTTTGATGTGTAATATAGTCGCTAGTCAGGTTAGTGGGATATGTTTTGATTTGTATATAACTATTAATATCTATATATTGGACTTAATTCAAAAAATTGACAATACTGTTCAATACTCTCGATATTATACAATTAATGTACCAGACGTACAATACTAATACGATATTTTCTTCTCAATTAATTTTTCTGGGACAAAAAAATACTTTATTCTTTCATTCTTTTTCCTTCTCCCAGTGCTTGTTGTTCAACTTTATTTTAATCTAATCTAATATGAGATGTATTTTTAGGTCGAGAATATCTAAGCTGTTCAAGGATTCTTGTTTGGACATATTGTAACAAATAAATTCATTAAGTCAAGATTTTTTTTTATTATTATTTTCTTTTCAAGAGATGGATTTCCCAAATCAAACCTACCGAATGGATGGAAAGGCAAAAGTGGGATATATGCAGTTGGTTTCTCAAGAAGAGGCCTCTCTGGTGCATCTTTGGATGCCATTAGAGTAGCACAAGATATAGGCAAAATCTGGAAAAAAGAAATTGAGTGCAATAAAAAGTGCAAATCCCATTTCTAATTTATACCAAACAACCCTTTAGCGCATTAATTAAGAGTGTTTTCTTTAGGGCTTGTAGATTTGCTTAGACATGAAAAGAAGAAAGGTGACACTTGAATCAGAGCAGCCCTCTTCATAAAAGTTAGTCCCAAAATATTTTTTTTGAGCATTTTTGTACAAAAGGAAGATGAGGCTTTTCGATTTTTAGTGCCAAGGGATTTGTATAAATAGGCTGAGTTGTTCGACTAAAGTTAAGTATTTTTATTTCATTCTCTCAAGTTGGTCCATCTAGTATTTTATTATTCAATGCTCAAAACGTATAAAGTGCATAAAGCATACGATGTCAAATAGTACATATATATTATTGTTGTCATCCAGACTTTACTCGCCAAAAAATCAAAGTATATTAAAATAATGAGCTACTTTTTCAATTTTACAAACAGATATATTTAGCATTACAATTTTAGCTCCGACTTTTTACCGATTTATGGTCCCACTGAATTTGGTGAGCCCCTTATCAATAATCCCCCAACGTTAATACTCTATCTAAATGTGAAATCGACTATACACTTAATTTTTATTAAGTACATATAAAAGCTCTAGAGAGACCATGTTGCTTAGCACAAGCGTAGCACCAACAACATTAATGAAGAACGGTGGAGAATTGTTTTTTCGAGTCAAAATTGCAACATAATTGACAAATCGTGGGAACCCAGGATACTCTTGGAATTCAGAAAAGGAAAAATAAAAATAAAAATAAAAATAAATAATAATAATAATAATAATAATAATAATAATAATAATAATAATAATAATAATAATAATAATAATAATAATAATAATAAAATAATAAAAAAATCGTGCTTAAAATCAAATCAAATTGTTTCTATGCATGTACTTCACATTATACTCAATATTAAAATATTACAGATTGACTAAGAGGAAAAGTAAACAACTTTCTTCTGTTATTTGAAATATGTTTAAATACCATGTACAAATGCCACATCATGGTAGTTTGCAAGATGTTATACTCGGTCCAAGATATTAAGTCTCTCTTTGATTTTGTTCAAAATCAAATTTTTTGTAAATTTTGATAAAAATTGAAGGAATGTGTGGATGCAAAGTTAATATAAGTTGTATGGTTAAAATTAATGGTTGACTTTAACTTAGATTTTTACCAATATTTTAGCTAAATCAACGAACTAGTAAACGATTGCAATCGCGCAAATTGAGCAGAGAATGAGAAAACGTCAATATACACACATGAAATATGTGTCTATTCAACTTTTTACTCATTTATTAAAAGTAGTAGTAACTTTCTTTTAGTTGTTTGAAATATGCTTAAATATCATGTGCAAAGTCAATTTCACCAAATATATCGATATCATAGGTTCCAGGGAACAATCTGATGGATAAGACCTTTCATTCCTAGGTGAAATCTCCCAAAATCTTTTCATCATCTAAGTCAAAAACATACAACATTCATCTTTATTTCTCAACTTTATCCATTTCTCCTATATTCTAATTTCCAAACAAAAAGGTTAATCCCTTCAATGTTGTCTTCTTGTATGGTTTGAATTCTTGATTTTATTTGTTTAAAATTGAACTGCCTCATCAAAAAGTTATATGGTATCTCGTCCCTTTTCAGTTATGAAAGTAATTCAATGCGCGAGGTAGTGCACTGATATGATAATTTTAAATAAATAAATATGTCCCTTCTTTAAAAAACTTAGATTTTTAAATAAGGCAATTCAACACAGCACCAATGTAGATAAAGATACCAAGTATTGGCACCATCCATTTATGACCCTATCTATACATAGGAGCTTTGAAATGAAAATAACTAATTATGTTTACTTTCTAATAGCTTTCATTTTAGATGAAGCAATTCAATATTTCATATATCATTTTTACTTTTAGTTTCATTTTTTTTCCTTTCCCACTTCTAATTTTATTACTTGTACCTTCACAACATATAGCTTGAAATTCTTCCCAAGTTTCTAGATTTCCAAATTACAACATTCTCAACCCTAAAGGAACATTCTATGTGATCCCTATGATAAAACCTAGTTCACAATTTTCCAGCCCCTCCATGTTAAATTAGTTCAGATATCAACTGTAGAGATCAAACCTAAAATCTGGTCAACAAGCCCTAAGGGAGAGGATGACAAAAAAATTATATCTAGCATGAATCAAGTTTCTTGATTGAGGATGAACAATAAAAATCGGAATGCTTATTCTCCATTTTCAAAGGGTGGGAAAAAAAAGGGAAAGAGAGAATAGAAAAGTAATCCATACACGGGACAACCCACATGAGTTCCCATGCTGTTGATTCAACCATGCATAAAACCTTTATCTTGTTGTGTCCATTTAGATTTGAATCACCAACAGACACAAATATACCAAAAACAAAAAAAAAAAAAAAGTACTAATTTTGGACCCATAGGTTGGGAGGGACCCTATGATCTTTCTCGGCGGGACGACACCCAAGAGAGAAAGGAATGCATTGGGACGGTAAACAAGAAAACTACATTTTGAAGATTGGAAGTAGTTATTAATTCACGGTACAGAATGAAAACTTCATTCTCATTGAAACCAAATACTTTATTACCTAGATGAACATCAAAACCACAGCTCACACTCACCAACTTGCTCCATCAAAGTACGTTTTGAAATTTGCACTTCTATGAGCCAATAGTGACATGGAAGATTGTGGCTTACCAGAAAAAGACATGAAAAGTACAGTTGTACTTGTGTCCTTTTCCATTGAAATTTTTGAGTTTCGAATTTTCTCTCCTTTATGACAAACTCTTCAAATGTCCTAGTTTGACACTGTTACCAAGAAAAGAAACACACATGGGGTGTTCACCAACTGTATCTCTACTTACTAATGAAGAAAACCCATTCCCTCATGTTGTGATGCACCTTCCATTCAATTTCAGTGTTTAACTAGTGGATTGTAGGCATTGTCCTAGAGGTGTCAAAAACGTGCCAGGCAGCCCGAAACCTTCAGGCACTACATGAACCGGCACTACAGCCGGACCTACCTAAAAAATAAAAATCTGCAAATTTATCCAAATGCAATTGTACGGGACCCGGCATCTGGCCAGATAAGGTTTACACTTCAACACTCTTCAATCTTCATATCCTAGTTCTGCAAGGCTCACAGAACAATGTGAGGCATAAGTTCTCATGGTACTCTTGTCCTCACCTGCTTTCAGTTATATCGGTATTTTACTAAAAGCTATACCAGCAATTCAGCAAGAATGAACAATTTCTTTGAGACTGGCAAAGTCAGAGTCATTTGGCTCGAAAGTTACACTAGGTGGCATCAGGATCTGAATTCACTATTCACTAGTCTGCAAAGAACCAATGAGCACAGAACTCAAAAATGTAAAGTCCGTCGTCACAGAAACTAACTGCTTTCAGATAGTTTTATAAACCTGCTTGAGAAGAGTTAAAAGTAAGCCTTAAAATTTTATCCCTAACATCAATTGGAGTTACTTCAAATAATCAATGTTCATTAATTAATGTCAGAACAGCATCAAGTGCCAATTAATTGAACATAAAACTCAAAGCATGATAAACTATTAATGAAATTCGATAGTGGCAAATAACAAAATCTTTGAATAGCATGTACAAGAGCAAAGATCAAATCCACTTCATCAAGGAAGCTCGCATGCGTGGGCAGAAAGGCATCCAATTTAATATACATCTCTCTTTCCAATATCTCATGCAAAATTAGAGATTATTGCTCCAATAAAATCAGATGACTTCATACTATTTGCACTGATGAAGGAAGAAACAAAAGCCTAAAATCCCTACGGAAATTCTATGACCACATAAATATTAGACATTAAACAAATATATCAAGTTATAGGTTTCATGTACAAGAACAAGCAGTCTATTTCCAGCTTTCATTCCCCAAAATTTTCATTTGGAAGAAACCATCTGATCAATTTCACCATTTTGGTTGTACATAGACGCAATTTTCTTCACATACGACGGAATATGCCTATCGGCTCTGCACCCATAAATGTTAAATAAGCACACAATCATCTTTGTTCTTCACCAGTTACAACTATTTCGAGTATTCATATTGGAAGCATACCTTTGTTTATATGATATTTAGTTGAGATCATACAATGGAATTTAGACCAACGTCCAATGGAGAGGAATAATAACTCGAAAACCAAAAGCTAAACAAAAGAGTCACAGTCGAATAAGATACATGAAAAGTGTATAATTGCATCCTATGGACTCAAGAAATATGTTAGGCCAATTGAAGGTCACACATGAAATAGATTACGGGGTTAGAAAGAGGTCACCAAGAATACATGCACTGGGAGATAGCTGATGTTAAAATGACAGCTAATACTTAGATCGTACCATGGTTGGATGAAAGACATTAAGTAACAAGGATTGAGGACATTTGAGGGTCAATCAAGTACAATAATTATATAGCGTTACGAGTGTTCATTTTGAAATAAAATTACTCGCAACTAGTTACATGAAGGCCACTAAACTGCATAATATTTTCAGTTTAAATTGAATGTTGAGGTCACACACGGGAAATTATAGTTACAGCTAGATATATCTGAATTCAGATTTAAATTTCCCATTATTTTATTTCATGTAAATTTGTTTTTGAGTTTAGATTTTTCACAATTATTTTCAGGTTCGAGTGCACATGCCATATGATTATTTAAATTAATATAGTAAAAATAAATTAGGGTTTTCTTTGAGAGGGTCATGAGATCACATGAGATTCACTATTCATAACATATTTTATTTTTCAGTTATTGCAGTTATGAAGTTAGTTGCATTACAATATATGCCTTAATAACAATTACAATAGTACAATGATCTGAACCATGCTCTTGGATAATTAATCAAGCAGAAATTTAGGGTTTGACTCATCATTGGGTGAATGTGGGCATTAATTTTGCTTAGAGACTCTAAATTTTATGAAACACGAAATCTATTGAATTGCTTGAAAACCAAGTTTGAAATCTATTGAA